AAATACCTACTTTTTTATACGCTCATTTAAAAAACCGTGTTACAACAATCCCGTGTACGTACACTTCTCAAGACATCACACTGACATACCTATCCCTGATCCTCTACAATATGTAATCCCTCTATTCCCTCAGTCCCCTCTTCCTCCTCCTCGTCCTCCCTGAGGGCAATGAGGGCCGGAGTGCCTCTCAGTGCCAAGGCTGACGGCCAGACCGGCACCCAAGCTTGAGAAAATATTGTTTACTTCCTACCGTGTCTGGCCCCGACCCAGGCCACCGTGTGTGTGTGTGTGTGTGTGTGTGTGTGTGTGTGTGTGTGTGTGTGAGAGAGAGAGAGAGAGAGAGAGAGAGAGTGTGTGTGTGTGTGTGTGTGTGTGTGTATGCTCTTACCTATTTGTGGTTGTAGGGGTCGGGTCTTTGCTCCTGGCTCCGCCTCTCCGCTGACCGCCACTGACTTCACTCTCTCTTAGCTGCGTGAGTTCTATGATACCTATTCTTAAAGCTATGCATGCATTCTACCTCAACTGCTTCGCTGTCTAGGTCGTTCTGCTTCCCGACCACTCAAAGGATATATATAAAAAAAAGCATTTCTTGGCATCTCCTGTGAGTCATCCGTGTTTTCAGTTTCTAGCTGTGCCCTTGTGTACCTGAGTCCCGCCTCTCAGAGTGCTGACTGATCCCCAGTTGTATATGAAGAATTAGACACATGTGCAATATTCAAGGATATAATGTGAAGACTGTAGAGCTATATGCAAAAGATGAGGTAATCTGTTGCTGAGCTGTACCAGTTATCTTCGGGGGGGGGGGGGGGGAGGGGGGCGTGCACATACATCTACCTCTGATATACCTTCGATGAGTTCCGAAAATTTTCTACTTCCGGTGCCCTGCCATGGGCTAGGCTCGTCTGGTGCATGCCTGGTGAACCAGGTTGTTGCTGTTAGTGGCCCGCATCCCCACATAGTGCACCACTTTTATTCAACATACCTCACACCACACAACCTAATTATAGTTGGTTCTTCACCGCTGCCTTCCCTCTGACGTGCCCGTACACCAACATTGACTCAAATTTGTGGTTTTGACCCTATGCCAGTCTCAATTTTTTATTTCAGTCTCTTCTTACCCATGGACAGGGACGGATCTACTATGAAAAACTAATGAAGCTTAAGCTTCAGGGCCCCTAATCCCTCAGGGGCCCTGAAGCCACTTTAGTCTACATGGCTTAAAAGTTTTGGGTCTGCTGCATGAGAAGGAGATTAAAAAATAATATTAATAATACAGTGTAATTCGCTTCAAAATATTAGTTAAAATATAAATTAAAAGGTAATTAAAATATCACGTAGGCCTAGCCGATGCTGGTTGCCATGGTGACCCCATAACAGTTCAAGTTTCAGGGACCCGATAATGTAGGTCCGACACTGTCCATGCATAGTGGTTTCCGACCTTCCTGCTTCTTTACCTGCTTGTGTCTGCTTTTTATTTTCTACTTTTTTCACAGTCTAGCGCCCTTAGCTTTTGCCTCTCTGCACCTCTGTACCATGAGGTCACTCTGCACCTCTGTACCAAAAGCTCACTCTGCACCTCTGTACCATGAGGTCACTCTGCACCTCTGTACCATGAGGTCACTCTGCACCTCTGTACCATGACGTCACTCTGCACCTCTGTACCATGACGTCACTCTGCACCTCTGTACCATGACGTCACTCTGCACCTCTGTACCATGAGGTCACTCTGCACCTCTGTACCATGAGGTCACTCTGCACCTCTGTACCATGACGTCACTCTGCACCTCTGTACCATGAGGTCACTCTGCACCTCTGTACCATGAGGTCACTCTGCACCTCTGTACCATGAGGTCACTCTGCACCTCTGTACCATGAGGTCACTCTGCAGCCTCTGTACCATGAGGTCACTCTGCACCTCTGTACCATAAGCTCACTCTGCACCTCTGTACCATAAGGTCACTCTGCACCTCTCTGTACCATGAGGTCACTCTGCACCTCTGTACCATAAGGTCACTCTGCACCTCTGTACCATGAGGTCACTCTGCAACCTCTGTACCATGAGGTCACTCTGCACCTCTGTACCATAAGCTCACTTGCACCTCTGTACCATAAGGTCATCTCTGCACCTCTGTACCATAAGCTCACTCTGCACCTCTGTACCATGAGCTCACTCTGCACCTCTGTACCATGAGGTCACTCTGCACCTCTGTACCATGAGCTCACTCTGCACCTCTGTACCATAAGCTCACTCTGCACCTCTGTACCATAAGCTCACTCTACACCTCTGTACCATAAGCTCACTCTACACCTCTGTACCATGAGGTCACTCTGCACCTCTGTACCATAAGCTCACTCTGCACCTCTGTACCATGAGGTCACTCTGCACCTCTGTACCATAAGCTCACTCTGCACCTCTGTACCATGGGCTCACTCTGCACATCTGTACCATGAGCTCACTC